GGAACAGGATGTCCCATTGGCCTGGAGCTAACTGATTAGGCTAGATTGACTGGCTAGGGAGCCCCAGAACCCATGTGTGTGAAGCTGCTAAGAATCTGAACTCATGTCTGACACTGAGTGAGCTATTTCTCCAGCCATTTGATGTCATTTTTTTCTCAGCCTGAACAACATCTTGTGTGCCCCCCCCCCGCCCGCCTTTTCCCCTTCTTGTAGCCCCAGCTGATCTGGACCAGGCTGGCCTCCATCCCACAGAGATCTACCTACCTCTGCCTCCCAAGTGCTGAAATTTAAGGTGTGCAGTTCTTGCAGTAACGTCTCTCAGATTTTGTCTTGGTATGCCGTTATTTCATCTTCAGTTTTGAAGGCTTGTTTTGTTGATTATATGATTCTTGTACATCTTGGTGTTTTACTTTTACCATCTAATGTCATTCTACTGCCTATGGCCTCTAGTCTTTCTAATAGAAATATTTTTTTGTAGGGAACCCCGGGATCCGCTTGTCTTCCCTCCCATTGCTGGTGTTAGCAATGCCACAGTGCCTGGCTTTTACATGGGTGCTGGGGATCTGAACTTGGGTCTTCACACTTATGCAGAAAAACACTTTACTCATTGAGCCATCTCTCCAGCCTTCTTTTTGCAGTTTGACTATGACATGATATGTCTATTTGTAGATCTCTGGATTTTCAGATTATTTAGCGTATTAAGCTTTTTGACTGTGTGCACTGACATTTTTCTTCAAATTTAGGGGTGACTGTAGCATTAATTCTTCAAATATTTTTTCTTTCTCCTTTTTTATCTTCTCTTCTGAAACATTAACATATTTTGGCCTGCATACTGTATTTGAGACTATGTTTTTCCTAATCTTTTTGTCTTTGTTCTTTTTTTTCTTCAGTCTTTTTGAGACAGGGTCTCCCTGTAGCCCCAGCTGGCCTGGATCTTAATATGTAGACCAGGCTGGCCTTGAACTCATAGAGGTCCACCTGCCTCTTTAGATTGTATAATTTTAACAGTTTCATACACGCATATACTATGTTTAGGCCATTTCTCTCCCCTACTCCATTACCCTCTCTCATTCTTCCTCTCACACTCATGGACGCCCTCTTCTTCCCAACAGATCCCTCTCCTTTCATGTCTTTTAGGACATACAATTCTTACTGATTTTATTTTTGTCAAGTTTTTTTTCTGCCATCTTAGGTTTAGTGTTGAATCCACTTAATAATTTATGCTTTTCAAGTCTAGAGCTCTACATTAATTGTTTTTCTTGTGATTTCTGCTTATTGACGGTCTCTGTTTTTGAAATATTAGATTTTCCTTTTTTAAAAACCTTTTGTTACATTTACTTATTGTGTATGTATGTGGTACGTGTGTGTCACAGTGTTCATGCAGGGGTCATAGGACAACTTAGAGGAGCCAGTTCTCTCCATCTACCTGGGGTGTCCTGGGGATCAAACTCAGGTGACCAGGCTTTATGGCAGGCCTGCTTTACCTGCCCAGCCATCTTACTGTTTTTTTTCATTCTTCTAAATATATATTATATATACCTGCATATGTACCATTTTTTATTTTTTTGAGACAGGGTAGCTCTGTAGCCCCAGCTGGCCTGGTACTCACTGTGTAGACCAGGCTGGCCTTGAACTCACAGATGTGAGATCCATCTGCCTCTGCCTCCCAAGTGCTGGGATCAAAGGCATGTGTCACCACGCGCAACATCTAAATGTATTTTTAATAGTTATTTTGAAATTTTTGTTAATGCCAACATCTGAGCCCACCCAGAGTTAGTTTCTGTTAAGTACTTCATCTTGAATGCTTTATAACTTAAAAATTTTTTAATTAACTAACACTTGGAACTAGGTAGGTAAGATACCAGCTCTGAAATTGAGGGTTTTTTCCCCTGAATTTTTAAAACTAACTAACTTCTTGGTCTGTGTAAAATGTTACTTTTCTTGCTGCTATGACCAAATACTTTATGATTATGATATATTTAAGAAACTGTGACCTAATCCCAGATTATGAGGAAATATACTTGTTCTCTTTTAAAACTTGATCAAAACACCTTATTATGCATGTATGACATTCTCAATAAAGTTTTTGTAAAAGTTACAAAAAAAAAAAAAAGAGGAAGAGGAAGAAACCACTAAACAACAAAAAAACAGGCAAACAAACATAAAAAACCTTTGGTCAAATTAGCTCTTCTATTGAATTGTCTTGACCCCATTGTCTAAAATCAGCTGATTCTAGGTGTTTGGGTTTGTTTTTGGATTCAGTTCTGTTTCATTGATCTCTGTCCTTTTGCGGCTCTTCATCTATTTTGATTACTGTTGTGTAGTAATACATTTTGAAGATAGGAAGTGTAAATCCCGCAGTTTTTTTCTTCTTCTTCAGTAAATTGGTTGGTTCTTGGGGGCCCATTGAAGTTCCCTATGAATTTGAGGATTAGTTTTTCCATTTTGGAGGAAAGAGACCTTTAGAATTTTGATAGAGATTACGTTGAATCACTTTTGGGGTATTGCTGTCTTAAAATGCCTTCTCATCCAAGAACCTGGAATATCTTTATCTTTAAGTCTAATTTCATTCAACAGTGCTTTGTAGTGTTTGCTGGCAAATTTCGCATTTATTTAAAGATATTTCTAAGAACTTTGTTCTTTGCTATTGTCAGTGGAATGAATTTCTCAATTTCATTTCTAGAGTATTCATTGTTAATGTATAGAAACAGAACCAAAAGCAACAAAAATAAAACAAAAGATGATTACAGCTGATGTTTATAGTCTTTTTTCTGTATTTGGATGCTGCCTAGGGTTTTTTTTTTAATTTTTTATCCTTTTAATGTAGTTTATTACCTTGATTCTTGTATGCTGAACCTTCTTTGTTTTTGTTGAATATATCCTATATATTCATTGTATATAATCCTATTTTTATGTTCTGGATTAGATTTGCCAGTATTTTGTTGAATATTTTTATGTCTTTTTTCATAAGGGATATTGATCTGTAGTTTTGTCTTGTGATTTCTTTGGTTTTAGTTTCAGTTCTCCTGGCTTTAGAATTAGTTGAAAAGTATTTAGTCTATTTTTTTAAATGGGTATTTTTGTTGTTTCGTTATAGAGTTTCACTCTATAACCCGGGCTGGTCTGCTTAGTCCTCTTACCTCAGCCTCTCAGTTGCTGGAATTACAGGTACGTACAACCAGGTCAACACAATTTTTGAATAATTAGTAATAATTCTTTAAGTCTCTGAAGAACTGGTTCAGGGTGTTTATTTGTGAGAAGAATTTTGCTTTTAAACTTAATCTTTGCTTTTTAGATGTCAGGTCCTAAGTGTAGTTACTTGTTTGTGTTCTCGGTCTCCCTCTTTCTCTTCTCCTTCACCCCCCCCTTTAGCTAGTCTAGTTAAATATTTGTCTAGTTGGTTGATCCCCCCCAAAGAACCAATTTTTGTTTCACTAAAGTTTTTGATTTCTTTCTACCCAACTCTGTATTACTTCTTAGTTTGCTTTGGATTTTATTATTTATTCCTTTATTAATTAATTATGTCTGTCTTAAGATGAATATAGGGCATTAAAGTCTACAACTTTTATATTTGAATTATCTGTCTCTTAATTTTTATCTTTTCTTGTTTCATGTGTTTTGAGAGTCTTGTTAGGTGTATATAAGCCTATAGTTGTTATCATGTTGATGAACGGGCCTTTTTTTTTGGTTATAAAATGCTCATAGTTACTAATGATTTTATATTACAATTTATTCAGTCTGGTACTTATATAATCACTCTAGGCCTCTTTTGGCTACTGTTTGTTTAGTAGGTTTTTTTTTTTTTTTTTTGTCCCTTAACACCTATTTTGTCTTTGAATCTAAAATTTGTCTATTGTATACAACAGTTCAGTTATGGTTTAATCTATTCTGCTAGTCTTGGCCTTTAATTGGTTTTCTTTCCATTTTTACTTCGTGCAATTTCCATGAGATGTATCTGCTATTTTCTGTTCTTTGTTATGTCTTTTTGTTCCTCAATTTCTCCATTACCACCTGTTTTTGTTGTTGTTGTTGTAGTAGTGTGCTGTTTTAAGTTTTTTATGTCATTTGCTGTATGTTTTTAGATTTACTTAGTTAGTGGTTGATCTAGGGATTACAGTTAACATCTTTATAACTCATAAAAAATATACTTTGTGTTAATATCAATTTAATTGCAATTGTATATACTCACTTTTATGTAAGTGTATCTTTCCCTTTTCCTGTTATACAAATTATATCATTACATATTGGATGCCCAGCCACAATTATGATTATTTTTAAAGTTTTTCACTTATTTTTATGTTATGTGTATGAGTGTATTTATTGCCTGTATGTATGTAAGTGCACTCCTGTCATTCATGCAGTGCCCATGGAGGTCAGAAGAGGGTGTTGGATCCCCTGGAACTGGAGTTACAGATGGTTGGTTGTTAGCCTCCATGTGGGTGCTGGAACAAAACCTGGGTCCTCTGCAAGAACAGTCAGTGCTCTTGACTGCTTAACCAACCCTCTAGCCCCTTATAATTATCCTTTTTACATTTTTCCTTAAACCAATGTTATTAATTTCCTACTGCTGTTTTCGTAGAAAAGAACATGGCAGGGTAGACTGCATATCCTTAGAAAGGCCTGCTTAGCTTACCAAATTAGCCTTTGGATGACACCTGGGAACTTAGATTTCAGGAGTGTTGTGCTAATGGCTCATTGTGCCCAAGCTGTTTATATAAACAGTATGCTGGGTGCTCAGTACTTTTTTTTTTTCTTGGAACCTGAAATGTTAGTGTGTTTGGGAACAGTGCCTATATGGTCAGTTCCTAATATGAAGTATCCTCCTATAGAATTCTGTTAAATCAGTCTCTCTCTCTCTGTCCTTCCCATCTTCCCACCCTCCCACCCCCTTTGTTACACATACACAGACTTCATTCATGTTATTTATACCAATGTTTTTCTTTTTGTGGCTGCCTCTTCTGATTCTTCTTATTAATATGTTTTTCTTCTTACCTCCTAAGGCAATAAAGAATGTTGAAAGGAGAACCATTTTTGTGATTTCCAAATTATTGAGCTGATTGCTATAATGGGTAAGTTCAAACTAAAAGAAAGTATTTTTCATTTATAGTTAAAGAATAGGGTGAGGGGGACTGGAGAGATGGCTTACCTATCAAGAGTTAAGCAGTCCTCTTCCAGAGGACCCAGGTTTGGTTCTCAGCACCCACATGTCAGGTGACAACCATCTGTAACTCTAGCTATAGGGAATCTGACTCCCTCTTTTGGTCTCCATGGGCACTGTATACACATGGTGTACTTACATACATTCAGGCAAAATATACTCATAAAATAAAAATAAAACTTTAAAAAAAGACAGTGAGAGGAGAGAGAAAATATTTCTCCATGTTACAATAAATCCTTTATAAAGAAACATATAGCAGATTTATGTAACATATGATATAGGAGATTTATGTAATGTTTTATTTACTTAGTAGATCTTCAGGTCAAAGGATATAGCTTAGTAGTAGAGTGCTTGGATGTTAGTGTGTGTGAGCCCTGGATTCAATCCCATATCCCCAAACCAAACATTTTCAGGTAAAGTACTTTAAAAAATGTTGTTAAAGTTTTGAAATGACTGTTTTCTGCAGGACTTACTAGGGACATTCAGAATAACTGTTCGGATGTTTTGTGATATGCTTAGAGTCTGATGGCAAGAGAAAAAGAAATCATATAGTTTTATAGCTGGATAGACTAGCAAATCACTGATGCTCAGAGACAATAAGTTTACCATATCCTGTATGTGGTGAGTTTGTCCCAGGGAATGGCTGCTGCAGGCATTCAGTTTGCACTTCACAGTGTTTTCTTCTTTACCTCCCTCCTCCCCTTTTCTCCTCAGTGTTGGGAGTTCTGCCCTGAGGCAGGGATTAGATAGACCCACCAGAAAGAAATGCAGCAATTGCCCTGCCCTATTCTAAATTGAGAAAAGTAGATGGATTGAGACTGATCCTGGTATCTTAGCTCTGACATTTACATGAAAAGTTTGTTTTCTTTTTTTACCACTTGCTTATGAAAATAAATGGATTTACACACACACACACACACACACACACACACACACACACACACGGCCTAAGAGGTTAAATTTAGTGGAAGGCCTAGCATGTCTCAATGTATGTACATGGAATAAGTGGTATGACAAAATCTTCACATTCCTACTTTTAAATCCCTCTTCTATATCTATATCTGGCTGCAGTATCCTTTAGTAGTATAAATTTTCCACTCTGATCAACCTTACTTTTAGCTCCAAGTTGGACATAACTTCTGTTGACTCCTGTCTGCTTCTCATTTTTGTTGCTTTCACTGTACTTTGACTTATATATTAACTAAATTTTTTAATCCTTCTGAAATAATAATATATACTGTAGTTTGCATCAAAACAGATCAGTCATTGCCTTAAAAAGATGTGCAAGGGTAGTCATAGGAAACTATGACTGTTTAAAAGGAGAAATCATAAGCTGGTGTGGAGGTGCTCACCTTTAATCCCAGCACTCAGAAGGCAGAGGCAAAGGGGCAGAGAGGCACCAGAGGCATCTCTGTGAGTTTGAGGTCAGCCTGACCTACATAGTAAGTTCTAAACTAGCCAGGGCTATGTAGTGAGACCCCTCTTTTTTAAAAAAGGGAATCCCAAATATTTGAATTTTGGTTTAGAATATTCTCTATTTTTAAAGTATAATATGTATATAGTGTATCAAATTTAGTATTTCTGACAAAAGATGTTCTTTGAAATGATCTTTTAAGCATTTTCTGGTTTTGTGCTCATTGTCAGAGGCTAGGGTCCTCTGGCCATGTTCATTGCCTGTTGGGTCAGCTGGTGATCCTCTGACATCTTTAGCCTGTCTAATCTGCTTAGACTCCCATGACCACCAAAGGGATTGTTAGTAGAGTTAGTAGGATGTGTTCTACTTTGAGTGTGATCACACTTGGTCTTTTGTGGGTTTGTTAGCTCTTGTCAGTATCTACCTGTGTTCTTACTGACCATGTAGTTCTTCAGTCAGCAAAAGAAGGAACTCCATTATCATTGCCCTTCAGTGTATATGTTATCTTCCGAAGACTTGAACTTTGTCACATTGCCTATTCCTTTTTTCATAGATGATAGAAAACTACTCATTTTTCTTAATATGGAGATAAGTATATGTAACGGGGATAAGAGATTTTAGCCAAAGCCTTCTTAGACATTTGTTTATGTGGGCACTGTGATACTAAATATATAAATAAGCCTTAATTCAAGTGCTAAAGATTTTTCTAAAAAAATAATTAGAACAATACATGGATTCTTACCCTAGTGTAGAATTAAGTATCTTAATATTTTTTAAGGTCCCATCAAATGATTTTGTTCCATTTGGGAATCATTCTAAGCTTATTTGGACTGAGAAACAATTTATTTTTATCAATAATGGACATTCTGGTGTGGCATACCAGGTATAATTACATTGTAACTGATGACCCAGTTACTGTTGGGCTTAGCTAACTTGACAAGATGTTATTTTATAAAGGATTTTTGTTTTGTTTTATTTTTGAGACGGGGTTTCCCCTAAAGCCCCAGCTGGCCTGGAACTGGCTCTGTAGACCAGGCTGGCCTTGATGTCACAGAGATCTGCCTGCCTCTGCCTCCTGAGTGCTGGAATTAAAGGTGTGGTCTTCCATGGTTAGGAATAAAGAATATTTTTAGAGGATTATGAAATTATTCTCTTTGTGGGCTGGGAAAGGGCTTAACGGTTAACAGGTAATACCACTCTTGTCGAGGACCTGGGTTTGATTCCTTGTACCCATAGCAAGTGGCTCACAACCACCAATAGTGCTAGTTTCAGGGAATCTGATGTCCTCTTCTAGCCTCCAAGGGCACCTGCACGCACATGGTGCATGCAATAAACTCACACAGGCACATACATATGCATAAATAAAAAAAATTTTTTTCTTAACCTGTGATTTATTAATAAAACCATTGTAATCTTTAAATTTTAATGTACAAATAATTTTGCTTACAGAATATGTTGGAATGTTAAATTTTTTATTTATCATTTGTTAATAATTATTAGTAAAATTGACTTGCTAGCAAAAATCAATGGTTTCTAAAGTCTTCCAGAGTCTGTAGTTGGCATTACTGAGAAACACATGCTTTTGGTTTCAAAGGAAATCTTCATCGTATTTGGGAGAGACTAAAAGTTCATGGTTTGTGGTCTGCCCTTTCAGTTTTCTAGACTTAGTATGTGTATTAGTTACTTTTCTATTGATGCTATGAAATAGCATGACCAAGACAACTTAAAGAAGGAAGAGTTTATTTTGGCTTATGGTTCCAGAAGGGTAAGAGTCCATCATGTTGGGGAGGCATGATGGCAAGAGGCAAGAGCAGGAAGTAAAGAGCTCACATCTTGAACTAAATGAAAAACCAGGAGCAATTTATAATAATGGAAGACTCAAAATTCTATAGGTATTTATTATTTAGGAATTTTTGTTTCAGAGCTGGGCATGGTGGTGCACACCCTTAATCCCAGCACAAAACTTAAACAGAGAACTTGGAACTGGGGCAAGACTATAAATTCTTGAAGCCCACCCCCAGTGACATACTTTCTTCAGCAAGGTCACACCTCCTAGAGGTTCCATGACCTTCACCAAATGGCACCACCAACGGCCCATGCCAAATATTTAAATTCTTGAGCCTATGAGGGCTCAAGATTTAGATGTCTGTTTGATGTTTTGTTTGAGAGTCCACAGAAAAGAATTTATTATAACAGGCTTTTTTGACTCAGGGTATTACATCACTTGGAGAAATAGAATGACTTTACTTTGCCTATAAATGTCTCATGTGTGTATATCTAGTCTATGAAGAGGTTGAGTCTAATGTAGCTTTAATGTTAGTTTTTTTTCCAGAGGCTTTTTTTGTCTTCATTTTTAACATACTAGGACATTTTATTTCATAAAAACTATAGATGTTAAAATATAGTTTACTTTGGAACTAAATTAATGCTTTTTAGAAATACTTAGTTTTTATTTGTGTGTGTGTGTGTTTTTCTGTGTCTGTGTGAGTGTATGCTACATGTGTGTGGATGCCCATGGGAGCTAGAAGAGGGGGTTGAATTCCCTGGAACTGGAACTGGAGTTACAAATGGTTGGTGCCAGGAACTGACCTATATCCTCTGCAAGAGCAGCAAGTGTTCTTAACCATTGAGCTATCTTTCCAGCCTGGTTAGTACATTTTTAAATATTAAATTCCAATACAAATTTTTCTTGGTATCTATAATAAATATATTTTGAATTTATAATTCTGTATATGTGTTGTTTTAAAAATACCCAGATGATCAGCAAGCTTTGAACTCAATCATGCAAGATTTGGCTGTCCTTCATAAGGCTAGTCGACCAGCATTATCCTTACAGGAAACCAGAAAAGCAAAATCTTCATCACCCAAAAAACAGGTATTTATTTCAGTAATGCTTTAATAAATGTACCTTGTTGTACTATGAATTATTTTCATTTCATACCCTTATCTTACTGAGGACTTCTTTAATACTTAGGTTTTATATTTTTGAATCAAATGTTCTGCTTAATGTATATCCACTAAGTGTGCATTTTCTTTTTAATTTATTCCTAATATCTAATGTAATGTAAATGCTGTGTAGGTATAGTATTGAGGAAAGAATGACAAGAAAGCCGGGTGTGGTGGCTTAGCCCTTGGGAGGCAGAGGCAGGTGGATCTCTGTGAGATTGAGGCCAGCCTGGTCTACATAGCGAATTCCAAGCCAGCTGGGACTGTACGGAGACCCTGTCTCTAAAAGACAAGGAAAAAAGAAAGACAAGGAAAGTGAAGTGTATACACTTAAAATAATTTTATGATAACTGCTTACTAAAGCTAATATTTCATCTATTATTCATGCACTTAAGATCAACAATTTTTTCCCTCAGTACTCTATTCTGGATACTTATGAGGGTGATTTGGATTCCTGTAAATGAGATTAGTTTGGGATAGAAAGCATGAAAAGTAGAAACTCTGTAGCTCATCCTTATCTGTGCTTTTACTTTCCGCAGTTTCTTAGTTACTTATGATCAGCTGAGATCAGAAAATAATAGATGGAATAGTCTAGAAATAAACAATTCATAAGTTTTAAATTTCATGCTGTTCGAGGTAGCATAGTGAAATCTCTCAGCTGTTCCATTCTACCCTGCTTGGGACATGAATTAGCTCTGTCTATTGTATCCATGCTGCTGGTCTCTGTCATTTAGCAGCTATTTGAGTTGTGACTGCCATTGCCACAGAGGTAAGAATAGTGCTGCTGACAATTTGGATTTGTAAAAGAGCTTTAAAGTACTTCCTTTCAGAGAAGAGGTCGAAGTTCTCAATTTAGTAAGGGAAAACAAACATATGTTCAAGGACCTTGGAACATTTACCCTATAGATTAGGGGTACTGCAGTATAGTATTCTGTATTTCCTTAGACTGAGTCAGTAACTCTTACCATACCCTTCCTTTTCTCACTAATAGGTCTTAAAGCTCTTTCCTGTTGTCAGATCTTGCAACATAGTTCTCAGTTCAGCTTTCTGGCAGAAACAATTAGTTGATTGGAACTGCACAAGAAAATGAAACCCCCTTTCCCTTCTGCTCTGTATTCAATGAATGGCTAAGAAAAAAAAATGATTAGAAATGATCTAATCTCTGATTTTTCATCTTATTGTAGAATGATATTCGAGTCAAATTTGAGCATAGAGGAGAAAAAAGGTAAGCAAGTGTACATTACATACCAATTCAGTTATATAATTAAATATGTATTCTGTTTAAGCTGTTGAAGAAAGATTCTTTCCAGATTTGAATGAAGTTTTGTGGCTTGCAAATTGAAAATGGAACAGTACTTGGTAATGTGTGACATGCTCTTAGACTGACGATAAATAGAATCTTGTTAAAATTCAGGCTAGCAATGATTAATGTGCTTGCTTTGCAGTATTAGGAAGTAAATAAGATCACTTCATAATGTATCCTTTAAATTTTACCATTTGCTTTTATTTTTACTGAGTGGAAATTTTGATTATTCTTAAGAGACCTCAAAGCCATGACATGTATTTTGTTAATAAGTATTGTAGAAAGTGAGTTGAAATGGTGGTTTCAGACTGTTTATTTAGCAGAGATGTAAGCCTAGCCCTCTGTGGTTATCTGTGCCTCAGTGTAAAGTGAAGGTGGTGGTAGTTGACAACAGAATTGCTAACAAGACCTAATAGGAATTACATACGATAGAATTTCTTTTGTAATTAGTGTCTCAATATATTAATAAAAGGTCTATTAGTCTTAGGGAATCAAAAATGGCTCATAAGTCGTAAACTTGATATGAATATATTTTGCCAGAGATACTGAAAAAAATGGAATATACCGGTCATGGCATAGAACTATTGTCCAATCTACTACTTTATTTAAAATTGTTTTATAGTATTTCTTTAACCTTTTCATTCCCTCAGCCCTGTTTATTGAGTACTTATTATGTGTTAGGACATAAGGTATAAAGTGAGCAAAGTAGAAGTAGGTCTTCCTTGTAGAGCTGGTAGTCTAATAGGGTACCCTCCGAACTTCAGTGTATGTTCTCTGGACCAGTTCAGGCAAGACCTTTGGGATAGAAGAAGATTCCATAATTTTATTTGCTTTTAGTCACTTTAAAATATCTTGGCACTATGCTAATATATGTGCTTAACATGTTGAATTGTTGAGGGTACAGAAATCAAAAGCTGACTCCCTAAAATACTTTATTTTTTTAAATTTTATTTTATTTTTTGGTCTTTTTGAGACAGGGTCTCCCTGTAGCCCCAGCTGTCCTGGAACTCACTATGTAGACCAGGCTGGCCTTGAACTCACAGAGATCCACCTGCCTCTGCCTCCTGAGTGCTGGGATTAAAGGCGTGCGCCACCACGCCCAGCAACAACTTTATTTTTAACAGTTTCATTGCTTTCTGTTGTACATATGTCACATAGTTTAATTACTTTCCTCAATGAGTGCTTTACATTGGTCTTTAGTATTTATATAACAGTGCATATTAAAAGCTACAGAATGTTGTGAAAGTTTCCATTTAAAAATTTTAATTAGTAAAGAATAGATTCAAGGGTCTTTAATTTTCTATTGAAAAATTTTGTGCTTGATCAAAAATGAACTATTTTTCTAAGAATGCATAGTTTTAATTTAATTTTGCATCTAACAAGAGGGAACTGTTAAATTGTTTATGCCAATAAAATAAAGTATTTTAAAATCCTGTCTATATAGAATACTTCAGTTCACCAGACCAGTTAAACTAGAAGATCTGAGGTCTAAGTCTAAAATTGCCTTTGGACGGTCTATGGATCTATATTATACCAACAATGAGGTAAACTTGTTTAGTTCAACTTTCAGTAGTCCTTAGTTGGAAATTTAGCAGTGTTGTGTTTTTATTTAGTGATTAGTAAAACAATGGTACATTAAATGAGTAAAATGTCATAATTAAATTTTAAGATAGATGTTTCCCACCATTACAGATAACAGTAGGTGCTGCTGTGCAAGTCATTGAGTAAGAATCGGCTAGGTGGAACCATGTACTGCTTCAAAATTCTATGCTTCCTTGTTTTAGTTTGGCTCTGTGTACTTTATCGATGAACTTGATTTTCCCTTCATACTATACTTAGCTGTGGTTCATACAGTTTTGGTCATCAATTTCATTAAAGCATAAAGGATTATTTTAATATTGGTTTGGATACTTTTGATTGCTTGTATTTAGATTTGGGGATCAGTTATGATTTATAAGTTACAGCTCTTCATGGGTAGGCGTTATGGATTTGTAGCAGAAGCAGACAGTAAATGAGTTGCAGTTCTTTGAAGGAAATGCATGAAGTCTTGTGATAATAGATAAAGGAAAAGGTAATAAGTGTCCTATTTATGTTATGAAGGAAGAACTAGCTGAGGTGATAGTAGAGACTTTAGGATGAAAAGCCAACCCTCTTAAAGAATTTCAGGGCAAGAATGTTCTTGGAAGACAGAGCAACTTGAGAGTAGTGTAAGCAGAGATGCTGAGACAAATAGTTTTGTATAGAAAAGGTATCAGTGGGGTTGAAGTCACAAGGGAGAGTATAGTTTAAAAAACAAAACACGAGAAAGTGTTTTGCAGATTTTAAAACATTATACAAATAAAATACTTCAAAATATTAAATTTTAAATTGTTAATTTAGCTAAATTAAATGGTAATATAGCAAGTGTGGCTAGCCGAAGAACTCATTTATATTTCAGGAGTGAAAGTCTTTTTAATTTGTAAAAAAACTTGTGCCTTGGGGCTGGAGAGATGGTTCAGTGGTTAAGAGCACTGGCTACTGTTGCAGAGGACCTGGGTTCAATTCCCAGCACTCACATGGCGGCTATGAACCATCCTTAACTCCAGTTCCAGGGGAATCTGAAGCCCTCTTCTGACCTCCGCAGCAGTACATGACATGGGTGCACTCACCTACATGCAGGCAATATACTCATATACATAAAAATAATAAGTAAAATATTTTTAAAAATTGTGTGTTAAACAGAATAGTGTCTCCGAATAAAGTGATTTGTACTGTACTATAGAAATATCTTGAAATTTTACTTTTCAGATTATTTGGAGTTTTTAATGAGTCATATCTATTTAACAAGTACTCTCTTGGCAGTTTATTTCTGTATGTGCTGGCCAGATTTTCAGCTGCCAGCCCCAGGGTTTTGTAGAGGAGGTCTGGTCTCAGGGGCTGAAGTACATAGAGGGTTAAATGATTAATTGGCCTAAGCTGGCAGCTCTTTGTATAATACACTTTTCATGGGCCTTCTTTCCTTCTTCCCTCATCTTTCCTACTCCTCCACTAGTGTTTCCTAGAATCTTTCCCATATAAATAACTTGTCCTTGAAGTTTTATCCCATAACATGATTCTAGGGGACCAAGACACGTACCTCCTGATCCCCGCAGGGTATTTTTTT